TGAAATAGACCATCAAAAGTTCCTTCTTTTTAAAATCATGGTCTTTGTTGTCTGCCTTTGCACTTATTGTTCCTTCTCTGTTTTGCATATTTTTTTCTCACTCTTGTCCACCTGGTAAACCCTTAATCATTCCATCCAAAAGTCAATGAGAAAGTCAGAATACCACAGTGGTTACAAGAACAAGCTTCAGAAGCAAAACAGTCCTGACTGTTACCACCTTTATGATCTTAGCCAAGTTTCTTAGCCTTTTTGAGCCCCAGTTTACAATTCTCCATTGCAAAATGAAGATAGTACCTCCTCATCTGTTTGTTGTGAGGCCTACGTAAGACTGTAAAGCACCTAGCATGGTACCAGCACTATTTAAACCCTCCAAAAATTAGTTGTTATTACAATGCCTGCTCTGTGAGATCTTCCCTAGCTAACCCACTCCCCCAGAGAGGATTAGTAGTCCTTTTTGTCATCCCATTACACTGTACATAGATAGCTCTAAAGAACTTATACTCATTTATAATTATTCATTTAGTTTGTCTCTCCCATGAGTCTATAGGTATCTCAGGAAGACACCATGATTTATTCACCTTTTTATCCCCAATGCCTGTAAGATAAATGATAAATACTGAAGGAGCAAATGAACAAATGGATGAAAAAACATCAAAGACTGACTCTTCAATATAGTGCAGCTCACATCCAGCTCTTGTGAGAACAGTAACTTCATAGAAGACAAGGACTCTAAGCCAGGCAGGCAAACCTTCTTTCTGCATCCCGTATTTGTTTCTCTATCTGCAAAACTGAAGAACTTCATATTCTTACAAATTCCACACAGGCTACTCTAAAGACAAAAAGAACCCACATTACCCACCAGTCTATTTTCTTATCTATTTTCCTGAAGTCTCCTCATGTGCTATATGCATGTTCACATATTCTCAGAAATATATAATTCTTGGGCGCCTGGGTGGCTCAGTCAGTTAAGCGTCTGCCTTCAGCTCAGGTTCTGATCTCCGGGTCCTGGGATAGAGCCCCAAGTCAGGCTCCGTGCTCAGTGAGTAGTCTGCTTCTCCCTCTCTCTTTGTCCCCCCGACTCGTGTGTGTGTGTGTGTGTGTGTTTTCTCTCTAATAAATAAAATCTTAAAAAAAAAAAAAGTTGCCCTTATCCAATAAGAAATTAGATTCTCCAAAGGCAAAAGCTATTTGTCTGCTTCATGGTGCTTTGCTGTCTAATACAGAGCTGTGCAAACCAAGAAAATGGATGGGCTTTCTGAGAGGGCAGAAGCTAAATAACCCTGAACTGGCCCTTCCAAGGTTTATCTTCACTCTCTCAAATATTCCAGAGAAGCACTAAAGATGCAGCCTGTAAGATTCCCAGAGCTAGGGGCACCTGGGTGGCTCAGTCGTTAAGCGTCTGCCTTCGGCTCAGGTCATGATCCCAGGGTCCTGGGATCGAGCCCCGCATCGGGCTCCCTGCTCCGCGGGAAGCCTGCTTCTCCCTCTCCCACTCTCCCTGCTTGTGTTCCCTCTCTCACTGTCTCTCTCTGTCAAATAAATAAATAAAATCTTTAAAAAACAACACCACCAAAAAAAATTCCCAGAGCTAGCCAAGGAATATAACACAGTTCTGTGCTAATAAAGCACAGAGAGTGACCAAGAATTACTGAATTAGTAAATAACTTACTGGCTCAAGAAATTTACCCAGAAGGTGGAGGTAAGTGAAAGTCAAACTAGAAAGAGTTGGTGCCCTGAGAGGTCACGACTGGAAAATCCTCCCAAACCCAATAATCAGGTAACCAGTGTACCTCAGCTCTGCCATGATACCTCCTCCCTCTATGGAGATTCTGAGTCTATCCCAAGATGATATGCAAGGTGAGCCACTAAGATATGTCCAAAGATGTCCTTTCTACCAGCCTGGAGATGAAAAATGAAACAATGCTTCTCTCTCTCACTCATCTTTTAACCACTCATAGCACCCAAAGTGACAACTGAGGGTGACAGTTCACAGAGTAGGACAAAGATAAAAAGTTAGCCTGTGTGATTATATAAGGAGAACTGCAGTGATTAAGTCTCATAAGGCATGTCTTGTCTATCAGGGGTCATCATCCACCCATGATGGATAGAATCCAATCCACAGACATATTTGTTCTATCCGGAAAAGGTTTTTAAAGACTTTAACTAGTTGCCAAGAGTTTAAAACACAATGATCTGAATTTCAAGTTTCTCCTGAAAAATAGGAAGACTGGTCATACTGTGCCCACATGCCAGTACACAACAGTCCCTACTACATCCTAATACATTCATACCTGGCTTACTTCCCTCATTTACATTACCTGCCTGATACTCAGGCATTTAAGCTTGTAATCCTTGGTTTATGTGACGGCAACAAATCGTTACTTCCATGATCACTCTCACTATGACTGGAGCTCCAAATCAACAGACTGCTCTATTATGTTTTCATTTAATTAAACAACTGCTGTTGAACATACTGAATATAGAAAAAGAACAATAAAAGCTAAACAGCTGCTAATTATATTTACACAAGCCTTTTCAGCCTGATGGTAAAACAAACCTCCCCTTCTCCCTTCAACTCAACTTCACCATTATTACCCCAACAGCAGAATCATTCTTATCAGTCACACTGAACCACAGGGACAGACTGTGATCAATCAACAGAAGTGGCAAACAAAGACGAGGATGATCCTTCCAGAGAGTACTGTATAAATACAGTGTGTCTCCTTAAAAGCAGGAGCTGCGTCTTTTGCCTCTCCAGCTGCCCACACTAGCCAGTCTAAGTACCCTATCAATGAAGTTATTATCTAAAAGTGGCAGTCATCATGCATTCTGGAACGTGAAAGTAGTGGAACTCTGAGAACTATGAGTTCAACTGGGATTGGTGCCCGGCTACTCATGAGGAGAGGTGTCTACAACCTGAGCTCCCACGGAGCCAATAAGCATCACTGTCAAGATTAGAAGACACTAAAAAAAAAAAAAAAAAATTAGAAGACACTGTCTACAGCCACCTCTGAAATATAGCTCAAATTCAAGTCTTGAAGGAAGAACAAATTTTCTTTTCTTTCTTTTTAATTGAAGTATGGTTGACATACAAAAGAACAAATTTTCTGATCTGGGGTGAGGGTTGGGGGTGAAAAACTATTCCTACCTAGAAAATGACTTTTTGGTAAAGAAAGGGGAAATCTTTGAGGCCTGAGTCACCTCCAGGCCCAACTGAAAAGATGCTGGATTGGTCACACTATCTACTCAAAGACTAGACTGCCTATTATGCAAAAGCCTATCAACTCAACAGGGCACAACAGGGCACATCAACCCAGGTGAGCAAGGCAGGTTCATCAAACCTGGATACTTCCTGGGCTATGTCATTTCATAAGCCACTTTCTATTTTTTTGTAGAAATTCTGCAACTTAGATCAGCAAGCTAAAATACAAACTTGTTTCCTGGACCATTTCCCTCCCACTTATTTAAAATTGATAAATACAAACAATGCTATCCCCCACCAACATACACACACACACACACACATACACACACACAAAATTTCAGGAGGGCAGAGGGCATTAGGTAAGAAGAAACTGAGTTTAGTCACTGTCACTCCTATACATTTTTTCCTTCTAACACAATGAGGTTTTGATCCTCCTTGTTAGTACCTCACCTTGCAAAGTCCTGACTGCCAAGGCCAGAACTAGGCCACCAGTCAGGATCACATACTACATACAACTAATCCTAGGTACAGATAACACTTTTTGAGTGTCCATTACTTTCTGAAAGGCATTAGGTTGATACTGCTTATAGCTCATGCTCTAGGTAGGCCATTGTACATATATGCCACTGCTTTTAAGAAGTGGGTAAATTAAACAGAGCAATCCCAAAACAGACCTTTCTATTTGTATCCTCCACAGGGCCCAGAGAAGTGCCTTATATACCTGAATTAAAGGCATAAAAATTTCTATGTTGTGCATCAAAAAACACTATTTACACTATTCCTCATTTCTGAAGGCACTCTGAAGACTTTTACAGTTTTACAATACAGCAGTTTATCAAAGATTACCACAGTGCCATAAACTACTCCTTGGAGTTATGCTCCATCATTCACTCTGCTGCCCTGACCCTACCACTTTTAAATTAGCTGAACATCTTTCATGAGCCTTTTTACCCATTAAAAATAATAGGCCAACTACCAAACTTCACCAATACTCAAATCCCTCTCTGTTCTCGGCCAAATATGTCATAATAGAGTGGCTCCCTTGTGATTAAACATCTCTTTAGGTCAAATGACGAGACCACCTTGGGGGGAAATGCCAACCAAAATACACACCAGAAGGGAATACCTGTAAAAGATTGTGTAAAGGAAGAAACATTCTCAGAAGGTAAGTCCAGTGTTTACATACAGACCCAGACTGGCAGTTGAGCTGCCCCAGAAGTGGAAAGTCTTCTCTTAGCCCAGATCTTCATAAGACTGGCCTCAATCCTTCCACACCTCTTCTCACTACCTGAGTCTAGGTTGCACTAGTTCATCATCCAGTATTAATGAAGCAGTTCAGCTGTATTAAGGAGGCAGTCACACAGAAGTGGACGCTGTACAGGATCTGCAGAGATTCTAATTTCTAAGGTCTAAAAATCAACCCTAAAAAGTAGATACAATGTTCTTTAGGTTTGCTTTCAGCTTTTGAGGACTGGGCTCTTTGGGATACCGAAAGCTCTAGAAGAGGGAAGCTGAAGGCTAGGTGAAGCCTGAGAACACAAGAAGAAAGATTCCAGCACGCGAAAGGGATCAGAAGTCAGAGCTGAAGTCGCCCCTCTGGCCGCAAGGGCCTGACCTTTGCCCCCTGCATGCCTCCCACTTCTCTCCCACAACAATCTCTTCCTGTTTTATTATTGCCCCTGCGTTCTTAACCCACCCGGCTCGTCCAACTTAAGGGCCCTCCTCCCCTCATTCCCTATGGCGATGTCAGGGCGGCCTTCACGACACTGGAACTCTAAGAAGAGACTTCGCTGACCTGTCAGCGGATCCAAAATGGCGGGGCCTAGTCCCAGGACCCGCAGCCGCTGTTCATGTCCAGCCCGGGCCCCGAAGACGTCTTTAACCGACTCTCCCGGCTCTGGTGGCAGATGGGAGAAGGGAAGGAGCCCGTTTCCTGGAAGTTGAGGCCGAAGTCAGGGACCGCACAGTCGGCCAGAAAGACTCGGCCGGAACGGGCGGTGGAGCCGGCTACCTTCCCTGTCAGCTCACTGACGTGGTAACTAGCCTCAGTCTAGCCCGCTGCCTGGTAACTGCGCGAGCCCTGGCGCGCACAGCCAATCATAGGCTTGTATCGTGAGAAATGGCATTCCAGCCACCCAATAGAAAAAGGAAATTGGCTTCGGGGGGCAAGTACAGCCTAAGTAGGCGAGATTAAAAGGGAAAGAAAAGAGTAGGTAGGAGGAACAACCAACGAATACGGGTACTCTCTGAATGACAGCCATAAAAGCCAATAAAAATGGAGAAATTGTACTGGGCGGTCAGGGAGGCGGAGTTAGGTAGAGTTCGGTTGCAGTGCGCGGTTTAGCAGTGGCTGCTGGGCATTATGGGGAGGAAAGCTACGATTTGCTGGAAAGGGGGCGGGGTCCGTTTTGAGAACCTGAGCGGGCGACCCTACTCTCCTGCGCACCCCCGGCCACCACCTATCAAAGTCATCTAGGCCAATATCTTGCCCCTTGAGGGATCACTTCCTTTCGAGGCAGCTCTGGGTTCTTTCCGTCCTAGGACCAGTCCTTCAATCTAGTCCATCCTCCCCTCCCCCACCCTCCCGTCTGCCTGCCGTTTGGCTTCTCATACACCTGTCTGTCCCATCCCAACTGTTTCTGTGTCTTGTGCCCATTCCTATCATCCAGAAACAGAGAAAATGAGAGGAGGCAGGAATCTTGGATATCTAATTCAGGTCTCAATTTGCAGAGCAGGAAACCGAGTCCCAGTGTGGAAAGATGGCCCCCACGTTCACATAGCTAGTTAATGGCAGAGCAGGCAGAGCAGAGGGACAAACCCAGGTATCCTCACCCTCAGTCCAGCTCTCCTTTTCACTGCCTCTCACTACCTCTTATGCCTTAGTCTATCAGGCTGTGATTCCCAACTCTGCTCCTCATACTAAGCCTTGGGTGCTCCTTACCTACCTGGAAAAAAGCTAATCAGGGGGTTAGTCAGCATCACCAGTCACAGGAAACTGAAGCTTTTCCTGTTTGCCTTGGAAATGCTAAAAGGCTTAAGAGCTAGATGCCCACCCCAATCTTCACTCTTCTACCCCCAGCTGCCTCTCCCCTTGCTAGAGATGATACAGGTTTCCAGTATAGTTAGAATTACCTAGAAGTGAGAAAAGCGGGGGAAGAAGACAGGGGGGTTTCCTCCTTGCTGATTGAATGGTGGAATTCTCAGCCTATCTGCTGGGATAGAACCCAGGGTTACAGGCAGACCTGAAGAGACTGCTGAGGGAGTGGAAAAAGATACCAACTTTCTCCTCATTTCTTCCCACTTATGGATGACCCAAATCCAGAGAGACCCCATACCTAACCTGTAGGAATGTGGGAATGCTCTAGATTCCTCTAATTTGAAGAATCCATAAGACTAAACATCAGACCTGAAGAACTCCTCAACAGCTCCCTGCACCTGCATATTGGGCTCCTGAACTCTGGGTCCAGATTGAGGATCTTTCAACCAAAGAGAGTCAGAGGAAGAAGATAAAACCACCTTAGCACATCTTTCCACAGTACATCTGAACCATTTCCACTTTCATTTGAAAACTGGGATTTGGTCTTCTGGGCCTGTCTCAGATTGAGAGGTCTGGATAGCCAACTGGAAAGTCCTAAGTGGACCAAAACTCCCTGTCTTCCTCATCTCCACTCTCATATACCTCCAAAAATGAATCAACCTAAAAGCTGAATGGTTGGGGCACCTGGCTGGCTCTATCAATGGAGCATGTAACTCTAGATCTCAGGGTTATGAGTTCGAGCCCCACGTTAAACATAGAGATTACTTAAAAATAAAATCTTTTGGGACACCTGGGTGGCTCGGTCGTTAAGCATCTGCCTTTGGCTCAGGTCATGATCCCAGGGTCCTGGGATTGAGTCCCACATGGGGCTCCTTGCTCAGCAGGGAGCCTGCTTCTCCCTCTCCCACTCCCCCTGCTTGTGTTCTCTCTTTCTCTCTCTCTCTCTCTCTCTCTCAATCTCGGACAAATAAATAAATAAAAATAAAAATCTTTAAAAATAAATAAAATCTTGTAAAAAATAAAAAAAATTAAAAAGCATGAATTGGATTATGTTAGAAATGAGGAGGAGAAAGATGAACATGCCCATCATCTTACCAGGCAGAACATCTCCCTCAGATTTCAGTATTGAGTCCTACATTATGCCTAGGAATAGAAATATGAGGAAGACATGGTACTTGCCCTCCTCAGTCTTAGCATCATAGAGGACATCACATAAGCTGATCTCTTCAGTATAGTGGGTGGGATAATAGAGGGTATGTGTAAGAGGGTTGTGGGAGGAAGAAGCTAGACATCTGGCTATCTTGGAAGTTCAGGAAAAGTTTCTCAGAGAGAATGAAACCTGATTGGAGCTGAGGAAAATGAGTAGAAGTTGGCAAGATGAAGACTGGAAGTATGTTACTGTCAGAAGAAAGGCCAGAGATGTGCAGGAAACCACTCAGAGATTGGATATTAAGACAGGGTTAGGTCCAGGCAGCTCTTCCTGCCCATGGGTCCTGTCCCTGTGCTTTAACTACAAAAAAAAAAAAAAAAAAAAAAAAAAGACAGGGTCAGGTGCTGAAAGTCTTGTATGCCAGGCTAGGGGGGTTAGCCTTTATCTTGACAATTAGGAGCCATTGCAGGGTTTTAAGCAGAGACATGACTGGTCGGATTTCCTTTAGGATCACTTAGGGCCCTCAGGGGCACCCAAGCTACCCAGCCTGACTCCACATGTTCCTTGGGACATCTGTCCTGTTCCTTGCAACTCCCTAGCTAGCAAGCACCAAGGCCACACCTCTCCCACAGGACTGAACCTGGTATCACCAGGAAGATGATAGCCCTCTTAAGGCTGGGAGAGCATAGCCTGGGCAAGCCAAGGGTGCAGACTAACAGGCGAACCACCCAGGCCTGAGTGCCCAGCCTAAGTACTGACAGAAAGAGCTTCCTTTAATTCTGAGGGGTAGGCAGGAGTAGGACGGGTGATAGTTAAGTTACTTGTCCAAGGTCACTCGGTGATGGTGGCTGGATTAGAATGTTGGTAGCAGGGTTAGAATGACTCTTTGGTTTGCCTCATGCCAAACAAACTCTGCTTTGTCCACGAAGCTGCCTTAATTGGAAGAGAGGAAAGGTGGGGGGAGAGGGCGGGAGATAGCCGAGAAGAGGAAGAGAGAAAGATGTGAAGAAAAAAAAGAGCACAGAGAAAGGTAAATTAGTCTTTCAAAGTGGAAGAGGAGGGAGGAGAGGGACAAACAGCAGGAGCAAGCGGCGGAGGAGAAAGAAGAGGAAAGAAAGGCAAGATGTGGGAGGACTGGAGCAGAGACAAAGGCGCGGAGAGACAGACAGCGACAAGTGGAGAAAATCTGCGAAACGTGAGCGGCAACCAAGCGCTGAAACCCGGTGGCCTCTCCCGGCCCGTGCGCCCTCCCACCTGGCGCTCGGGCTGCCCTATTCGCCCGGTACCACTGCACATCGTTCAGGGTGGCGGCCTGGCCCCACTTCTCCGGGGCCACCGGGGCCACTATACTCTAGCCCGCTTGGCTCTGCCAAAACGGTCTCGCTCGGCGAGGTTTCAGCCACGTGGGGAGGGGCGTGGCCCAATGCTGAAGAGTGCCTCCGATTGGCCAAGGGGCGGGCTTCTTGGCGGTTCGCCGGCCGGACCCCTCCCCCGAAGGCGGGGCCTGAAAATTCACAGCTGGAAAGGGTGGAGCCCGGGCGGCGCAGCTGGAAGGGGGCGGGGCCCGACGCGCGAGGCTCGCCGCGGCGGGCTGGGGGCGCCCTGGGCTGCCATAAAGTGAATGGGCTCCGGCGGGGGGTGGCAGTCCGCCGCGAGGCTCACTCTCTCCCTCTGCGAGTCGGAGAGCGCCGGAGCGGAGCGGCGGCCCGGGCGCAGGGGGGCGGCCCCCACCGCGGCCGGGTGCCCGGCCCCTGGCCCCTGCTTGCCCTCCAGACTGCCGCCGCCGCCGCCGCTGCCGGGAGTCTGCCTGCTGCGGGACTCACTGTGAGTGCTTGACTATGCGGGGACAGGGGCTCATGGGGCCGAGGGGCCACGACCGAACTTCGGGATCCCTAAAACAGGACCTGGGTGGCTGAACTGGGGAACGGTGCCTGGGGAACGGGTCTAGACTGGGAGGGCGTACTGCAGACCCGGGGCCAGCACTTAGGAAAAGGAAAACTCAGCGTCGGGACTCGGGGGACAGAGAAGAGGGAGACTCAAGGGATCCAGAAGGAAGCCGGAGACATGAAGCCAGGACAGGAGCTCCGCGAAGCAGGGAGTAGAGTCGGAAAATCATTACCAGAAAGCGCCCTGGAATTCGGGGGCGCGGGGCAGGCAGCCAGGGAGCTAAAGGGGTTGCCGAAGCCCTGGCCAGCTGGGGGAGCTGGCGGCGGCCGCACAGCGTGAGGGCAGTTGGCGGCTCCGGACGCCCCTCGCCCAGGGCTCAGACTCTAGGGGCTGCGAGCCGGGGTGAGTCTGGTCGCACACGCTTCTCTTCCCAGCCGCTTCGCAGTTTGGATAGGAGCCGTGTTGTGGGAGCCTGGCTGCGACCGGGTCAGATGGCCGCTGTGCGGGCCGCCGGGCCAAAGCTGGGCAGCCCGAGTGACTAGGCGGCGGGGCTGGCAAGTCGGGCTTGGGGTGTCAGGGCCCGGATGGGTCTCGGCCTGGAGCCGCATGGAGTTGGACGGAATGTCCGCAGGCCGCGCGGGGCTCAGAGCGGACAGAATGTCCGGGGAGGCTAGGTGGGTCTCTCCGGAGCAGGCGCTGTGTCCGGCAGGGGCGGACAGAATGTCCCTGGCCGAGTGGCATGTCCATGTACCCGGCCGCGCCTTGCCCAGCTGCGTGTTCAGTGGGGTTCGCTCTGGTGGGTCGCCTCAAATCCCGGCTCACACTTTGCAAACTAGTTTCTGCTCCTAGGAGCTGCAGAGTGAGGGTGAGGGGATGACAGGAGCAGGCAAATGAGAATAAAGGCCTGGCCTTGGAGTGCAGTGGCGCTGGGGGACATTCACCCTCCAACCCAGACTAGATCTGAGCATCACCCGGCACTTCTAGAATCCAACTTTGAGGAGAGAAAGCCCATGGCAGGACAACTAGTAAAAGACAAGGAAAGGGGAAAATGAACCAGAAGGGCAATGGGAGGCTAAGGAGGAGTCCAACACAAGCCTCCCTGACAGCTTCAGTTTCCTCACAAACTCGTAGTCAACCCCTAATTCCAATACAGCTGACCAGATAGCCCTGAATTCCTACCTGGTTGTCAGCGGGCTAAAGCCTCCTTCCCTGCAAGAGGCAGGATCCCAGGCCCAAAGAGAAAACTGCAGCCCTTTAGCAAAGCAAACCCTGTGGTTTTTTTCCCTTTTGGCTCTCTCAACCCCACCAATCCCAACACTACCCTGATGGTTGAGAGGAAGGAGACACATGGAATCCAGACTCTGGGGTCAACATGGGGCCTAGACGGCCCTCCAAGACTGGTTGGGAAGGATGTCTCAGCCCTACCCAACTGTCCCTTTTGTTTTTTCTGTAGTTGGGAAAGGGCCCTGATTCCTTTGGATCCATATAGTGACCACCCACCCTGACCCCATCTCTTTAACCAGAGCCCAGTTAAGCTAAAGGGAACAAAGAAGAGAGAACTTTCCCAGTCTGTGTAAGTAAGCAAAACAACTCAGCTAGGGACTGAGTTTTCATGGGATAAGTGCAAGGTGATATATTTAGCAATCAGTAATCTAAACAAGTGGGTCTCAACCTCTCTTACCGTCCACCCATGAATGACATATAATATGTATTCCCCACACTCTCACCTCCATTCCTCAGTTTTAAAGTTTGCTTATCACTGGCTAGGACATTGTTTCTCAACCTTTTTTGTCCTTGCCCCCTTTTGATAAATATAAAGGTACACTCCAATTACTCCTACCATATTCTGATACACTTTTCAGGGGCTTGTGCTCCCATCACCTTTGAAAATCACTGAAATTATGGGTGAAATGAAAGTCTCTGAGTCAGGAAAGGAATAGCAAAGGCATTGCAGATGGTTCCCTGAAGACCTTAGCCCAAAGTTCTGCATTTGCCAAAAAGGCCAAAAAGTAATGGCTTTATAATAAAGATGAATGGAAACAAAAGACAGAACTTTCTCTCATCCTTGCATAAAGCCATGTAGCTGAGTGCATGCCTGGTCACTGGCTCTTAGGGAGAATGTTATGGACCCAGAGAAGGGTCAGAAAATGATCCACAGAATGGGGAGCCAGGGGCTGCTAGAGAGAGCAAACTTAAAAGCTTAGGCCTCTGGAAGGTGAAACAGGATGGAAATCCACAAATAATGAAAGGCCTAGATAAGCAGATTTGTTTGCTCCCCAAATCCTGAAATGGGAGATGAGGGGGCCTCGTAGAACTGGAGTGATGCAAACTCAAGATGAATAGGAAAATGTTCCTTGGCACACAGTGGGCAGCAAACTTCCAGAGCTTTCCAGAGAGGAGGCAGAGGCAGGAAGTGGAAATGGAATCCTTCAGGGCTTGGGAGGATCAGTGCATGTCAGAACCACAAATGGCTGCTGGAATAGAGGGGGCAAGGTATGGAAAGAGCTCAGACCTTGGTTTTAGGAGAACTGGATTCGAATTTCTTCAATCTCTGTCACCTTGGACAAATTTATCTTCTTAGAGGTGAAATAAGGATGGATATTCCTGCTACCCGAGGTGGTTGTAAGAGTTCAATGAAATCATGTATTTGAAAGTCCTTTGCAAATGGAGAAACACCACAGAAGTAAGAAACATTATTGCTATTATTATGCCCAAACTGTAGGTCCTCTGTAACCACAGAATCTTTGTTTGGAAGGATGGAGTCTCAAGTCTTAGAGAAGCCTGATAGCACCCCTGATCCAGACATAGGAAGATTCTCAGTGACAGATGGAACACCCTATCCCAAGCTTCCAATGTCAGCCATTATCCCTGCTCCTCTCCAAGAAGAGTTCTAGGGAGCTCCCCAAATGCTTAACTCCTCCACCAGGCCACATACCCTGATCTGATCTCTGCCTGCCTCCTGCTCAAGGATGTGAATATGGGCCTGGGACACAGGTCCAGGAGGGGAAAGGGAGGCAGGCTAGAGCTGAGCTGGGGATAGGCATGAGAGAAGGACAGAGCCACCCAGATCTTTTCTTCTCCATTCGCTCCAAATGATGCATCCTAGAGAGTGGGGAGGAAGAAGGCAGCTAATCTGAAAGATCCATTAGGTCCTGAGCTTTGGGATTATCTGGAGTGTCTAGCCCATGGTCATGCGCAGGGACCCACGATGAGGGTGATGGGGACAGAAAGGGAAAGAAGGTAGGCAGTGGGGGGAATGAGAGCTGCTTTCAAAATTCTCTCTACTCCTTCTCCATTGTCCTCCCCAGGGCCTTCTTTACACTTTTCAGTTAAGTTCCCCCTTTCCCACCTTTCCCCCGCCCAATCCATTCTGCTCACCACAGCCAAGTCAAGGTCCCAGAGCCGCTGCCCTTATGTTTCTCCCCTGCCTACAAGCCTCCAGCGACTCCCACTGCTTGGAGTACTGCTTCTCAAAAGCGGGGGATGGGGAGAGCAGGCAGGTCAGGAGTAGAAGGGGCATGATGCTGCAGCTGAAATGTGCCCCATCTTCCTGGTGTGGTGATGTCACTTGAAGATGTCACTTGGAGACGTGGAGAGAAAACTACTTTTATATCAAAATAAATATGCTTAAGTGTGGAATAGAATGCAAAACTTGCTTCAATTTTTAACGTAAGGCTGGAGATCTCAAAGAAATTTCAAACTGGTGGCAGCTGTTTGAGGTTGTGCTCCCAGTTTCCCAGAGTGATGTTCTCTCTTACTGGTCTTAGGAGGTTTTGATGGAAAAGCTGGAGATGCTCTAGCTTAGACTCTATCAGACCTGAAGCACCACCCCATGCCCTTCATTGGAGGCTCCTGCAGCCTGACCTGTTTTCCTCTGATGATTTCCCATTGCCCACACTGAGACCCTGGCTGCCTGAGACTGCCTGTTGCCCTCGGAACCTGCCAGCTCATTCCCAGTACTGCTCTATTATTTAGAAGCCTCTGCTCCTTCTCTGCCTCCCTGGTTCCCAGCTCTGCCATGTGCTACATTCTCTGAGCCCCATAACTTGATATCAGCTTACATGGGCTTCCATCTCTCTGACCCCCCACAATGTGAGAATTAGGCCTATTTAACCCATCATTGTCCATCCTGTTTACCTTCCCAGACTGTAGACTCCTAGAAATTAGGGTCTGTGCCTTACCGTTCTTGGGGATCTGTCCTAGCACCTAACACTTGCTGAAGGAAAGATGGGAGGAAGGGGAGGGGTGGGTGTGGGGGCCCATTTCTCTGATCCCTAATTTACCCCTTGATAAATTAACTACATAGAATCATTGCTGCCTCCACTCGAGTCTTAGGGTTTCCTCTTGGGTCTGTAACCTTCGTCTATAGCTGTCTTCATTTGCGCCCATTTGCTCACCGCAGCTCAGCAGACCAGACAAGTTGGGTCCTCAGCATCCCTAATGAACTTAAACAGCTCACTTTCAGATCCAGGTTTCTAGGTGGGTTCCATGCTAGTTAAGGGCCCTGGTTTATACTCTATCACCAACTTGCTACTTGCTGAGCTGAGCCATGGTGCCACGACTCTATCCCTTCCATCTTCCAAGGGTTTTCTCCTATCTCAGGTCTAGGGTACACCTTCCGCCCAGGCATCATTATTGCAACTACTTGGGAGCTCTCTAGCTGAGGCCCTGATTTGCCCCTTTGGCGTCAGGGCATAAGTGGGCACACGTGGCAGTTGCCTTCTTGCCATGAGCTTGGGTCCCTTGGAAACCATGACTTCCCCTCTCTGACCTCTCTGACCTGGGATAACCTGTGCTCTCCACCTTAATATATCTTGAATGTTTTGTTCTTCCTGCAGTCCATGATAGGCTTCCTGTAATGCCAGCTTTTACTAAAGAATCAAAGCACACCTGCAGGTCCTTTCTTCTTCCCAGTGTGGGGATTGTCACCCTGACACCATGGAGCCTGGCCCATACATCCCCAGTAGGGTGTGTCAGGAAGGCTGGAGGGGGGACCGGCAGCCCCTCCCAGAGCTGGATTCAGCACCCCACTGTTATCTCCTGACTCTCTCTGCCCCTGCCTGGTATTTCCTACCAGCATCAACCAATCCTGCAGCTTCCAGACCTACTGCTTGTCCCTGTCCACCGAGTGAGGCGAAGCCCCTGGCCTCAGTCCCAACTCCCCAGCTTCCTGACCTCCAACAGTTTGGGGGAGCTTAATCCTCAGCCAGCCTGTCTCCAGCTCAGACAACAGCCTGGCACCCCCAGCCTCTGCCTGGCTAGCCCACCCGGACTCGAGTCCGCTGGAGGCCTGTGCTCCCGCCGTCTATCTCTCTGTTGCCTGCCTGGCTGTGGTGTTCTTGCCTTTTCATTTTTGCAGGCAGGGCTCTTCTCGGCCTCAACCCCTCTTTCCACTATTACTACACCGGTCAAGAGCCTGAAGGTTTCCTTCTTCCCTTTACCATGGCTCTCAGCTTCGGTTACTCTGCCCATTTTGCTGTTACCTTATTGGCTGGGTCCTCCTTTATGTTCAGGGCCGAGTATTCACAACACACCTTTGCATCCCACTCTCAAATGCAGCGAACTCACCTTTATTCACCAGAGGAATTCTTCACTGGGTGATACAGGGTCTAGGAAGGTGAACTCAAGCAAAGGCAGAGATAAGGATGAGATCTTACTTACCACTCTATCCTCAGTGCCTTACTCAATGCCCAGCTCATAGATGGTGCCAAATAGACATCTGTTCAATGAATGGGGAGGGGGGCGCGGGGAAGCAACTTGGATAGAGTTTTATCCCCATTCATTTTTACATTATGTTTTATTTTAACCTTATAACAATACTAGAGGTAGGTAGGGAAGGGAGTATGATCTCCCTTTTAGAGATGAAAAAATATGTCCAGAGAGGTAAAGTACTTTGCCAAGAACACACAGCTAGTAAGTTGGGGAGCCAGGACATGAACCCAGATCTTTTGTCTCCAAACCTATTTTCTTCTTGGCTATTCCAGATTACTTTCCTAGGAGGGGCCTGGGCAGTTTCCACCCTTTACCCCCAAGCCATCCTCTTCCCTCAGACTTCTCCCCACCCAGGGAAACAGGGTCTCCCCAGCAGCCACTGAGTATAGACCACTCCCCTGGCCCCTTTGGCCTCCTCCTCCCCCCCAGAGTCCTTAGTTCCTGGGACTGAGAGCTGAGGTTCAGAGGGGCCAGGCAGGGGGGGAGAGTAATGGCTAGCTCCAAAACAGCCAAGGCAGCTGTCCCTGTCACAGAGAGAGGAGACTGTGTGACGGTGTGGGTCTGTCTGCCTGAATGTGGGAGCGCATGTGTGGGAGAGTATGTGTTTGTATGCCTCTAGCTCCAAGTCCAAGTGCTTATTTTGTCTGAGTGGGGGCTCGTGTGTGTCTGCATGTGTGTCTGTCTGTCTCTGGGAATACACAGCCTGAACTCTGCTTTCTCGGCCTCATCTCTTACTCTGGCCCTTATCTCTCTCCACCCTGCCTCCCTCCGCTGCAGTTGAGGGTGAAACGGAGATACAGGTACGGAATGCTGGGGGAAGGGGAGTTTGGAATACTGGAAATCTGGAGCCAAGGCAGACTGGAAAGACAAATGGCACTGGTGGGATTTAGTTTTCTCTACAGGTGAACCAAATTGTCCCTTTTTTCCCAGTGGTGGTGTTCCCATGGCCTCTGGAGAAGCCAGGGGCGTGGCTTGCATTTTGAGAGCATCTTGGGTATAAAGTACGAGGAGACTTGAGAGCACCCCTTTTTCCAGCTCTCAGTTCTAAGCCTTTTGAGCTATTTGGGAAGAACTACTAGTCAGGGCTGCCACAGGTCTCACCCAAGGGCATGTCCCTTCTATCAGAGCATCGCTGGGCCAGCCCCAAGCCTCTGACTCCTGACCACAGACCTGGAAGGTGAGGTGAGCTGAGCATCCCCACCCCTAGCCTGACTTCTCTCCTTCCCGGTTCCCTTCAGTCCTGCCTCTCCAACCTTAGAAAAAGGTTCAAGTCTAGACCCCACCCCCTGCAAAAAGAACAGGGACTGCTTCTCAACCTCCTGCCTTGACCTCTGTTGCACCCCCAATCTCACTTGAGAGGTTGGGGGGGGCAGCTGTCCTCTCTCAGCTGGTTGACGGGGGCATTACCATGTGCAAATACAGGCCGCTGCCCATCTGCGCCTCCCAGAGAGAGGCTCCTTATAAATTCAGAAGAGCCAAGTGACACACATCTCAATCTAGGCTAATCCACCACATTAATGCCACCCTGCACAGCCTGCATTAAGTCCCTGTTAATGGAGAGGCAGATGGACCCCTCCTAGCCAGCTCTTTACCCCTGTTCCTCTGTACCTAGACTCCTTTGGTTCTCCTCTGACCAAGAGGCATCCAGAGTTCTTGAGCCTCACTTAGTGCCCCTTTCTCCTCCTCCCACCAGAGGAGGCTTGGGAGAGCCAGCAGGAAGGGGGACCCTACTGGGGAGACTTGGAGAGGGAGCTGGGTCATCTCCTGGGATAGGGAATAAGGGCGGGAATGTGGCTTTAAGAAGCTCACATCTGCTGGGGGGGGGGCAGTGGAGGCTGGCATGGGTGGAACTGGTAAGGGGGTGAAGTGTGTCTGCACGGGCACAGAAGCGGACAAGGCCAGAAGGCCTAGGGACTTTCAAACTTGTTTTTGATCCTGGAATCCTTTCTTCAAATGCTATCTCCCTAGAAAGCATAAACAAAACAAGCAAAAGCAGGACTGCCCTGGTTGAAGCAGACCCAAGCAAGGCCAAGCTAGACTTCTATCCCTGAGGCTAGCCCCAAATTCCAGTCCCTGAGGGGGTGTCTGGGTAGGGCCCCAAGGAAAACAAATGGAAAAAGCAAATGAAGAAAAAGCATTAGCTTAGGAGTTTCCCAGGCCTGGTTCAGATCCCGGTTTCACGACGTACTAAGCTCTGTGACCTTAGTGGTTACTTCAAGTCTGTTTCCTCACCTGAATGAGGGTGATCATACTTAATTTCGATGCATTCTTGTGAGGAGAGAGATAATGAGGTAAAGGCACATCGTAAGTATTCATAAATAATAGCAGTGGTTATCTTCATGCGAGACATACTGGGTCGGCTTCAAAATCAAATCTGTCCCACCGGAGAGTAACAGACTGTGTTCAGGTGTGATTGGCTGAGGGGCTGAGGGGCATGTATGAGTTTGTGTGGATACCGGACATACATGTGAGAAGGAACTGAAGTTTTTGAGGATGTGGTATACAGTATGCGGTGCGCAATAGCGTGGTTTTCCTTAGCTAATTCAATAAGTATCTATTGAACACCAACTGGGTACCAGGCAGAGTTCTAGCTAGGTGCCCAGCAGTGAACAAAACACAGTCTAGTGTGCATGTCTGTGCATAATACCCCTGGGTACACATCTTTCTCCCCTTAGGCTGCTGTTTCCCTATTCTATCCTAGGGTACCCCACACAGGGATAGCTTTATGTCGGTAGCTGAGAAAGGGGCAGTGAACTTGAGGGGAAACACTACTGGGAACCCGATAACCGGGAGATTTTATCCCCATCAACCTGGCCTGTGTCTTCTCTCCCTTCCAGAGTCCTCCCTCCATGGAGTTCGGCCTGCTTAGCGAGGCGGAGGCCCGGAGCCCGGCCCTCTCGCTGTCAGATGCGGGCACTCCCCACCCGCCACTCCCAGAGCACGGCTGCAAGGGCCCAGAGCACAGTGGTGAGCGCACCCCCTACTGGGGGTAGGGGAGAGAACAGTTCTGTCCCTCCTGGGGGTGGGATCTGGCAGTGGAAGGCCGGGTGGGAGTGAGGGGTCAGTGGAGGAGGTCCTTGAGCCGCGGAATCCGCGCAGGCCTGGGCGCCCTGTGACCTGCCCCCACCTCGGCCCCCAGATTCGGAGAAGGCCTCGGCTTCGCTGCCCGGCGGCTCCCCGGAAGACGGCTCGCTGAAGAAGAAGCAGCGGCGGCAGCGCACCCACTTCACCAGCCAGCAGCTGCAGGAGCTGGAGGCGACCTTCCAGAGGAACCGCTACCCCGACATGAGTACGCGCGAAGAGATCGCGGTGTGGACCAACCTCACCGAGGCCCGCGTGCGGGTACGGCCCTCCCAAACCCGCAACCCTCTCCTGCCCCGCGCCCCCGCCCGCCTTCCTGCTCCGGCCCCGGGCCTTTTTCTCACTGGCCGCTCAGCGAGCTGCCCTGGAGCCAGCAGCCTGCGCTTCCCCCCGACTGCCTATCCTCGGCCCAACACCCGACGTGCCCCTGCTTCCGTGGGCTGCCCCGCACAGCCTCCGGCCTCTGCTCTGACTCCTTCCACCCTGTCGCTCCAGGCCGCTCGTTCCTTTTCCCCCCGGCACTGTCTCCCGTTCTCTTCTTCACCCCTCCTTGACTCCATCCTACGCGCCCCCCCGCCCCGACCCTGTAGCCCCTGACTCAGTCGTGCCGCCCACTCCTGTTCTCAGCCTCCTGACTCCGCGCGCTCCTCCCACCCCCTGGCTGCCCCGCTTCCGTTTGGTTTATCCTTGGCGCGGTCCTGGCCCGAACCCCGGTCTCGGTGACCCCGCCGCCAGCCGCGCGGACTCAGGTCGGCCCCCCGCCCGGCTCCGGCCCTGACAGCCTTCCTCCAACGCCCGCAGGTGTGGTTCAAGAACCGGCGCGCCAAGTGGCGGAAGCGCGAGCGCAGCCAGCAAGCCGAGCTGTGCAAGGGCGGCTTCGCCGCGCCACTAGGGGGGCTGGTGCCGCCCTACGAGGAGGTGTACCCCGGCTACTCGTACGGCAATTGGCCACCCAAGGCGCTCGGCCCGCCACTCGCCGCCAAGACCTTCCCGTTCGCCTTCAACTCAGTCAACGTGGGGCCTCTGGCTTCGCAGCCCGTCTTCTCGCCACCCAGCTCCATCGCCGCCTCCATGGTGCCCTCGGCCGCAGCCGCCCCGGGCACGGTGCCAGGGCCCGGGGCCCTGCAGGGCCTGGGCGGGGGGCCCCCCGGGCTGGCTCCGGCCGCAGTGTCCTCCGGGGCAGTGTCCTGCCCTTACGCCTCGGCCGCTGCAGCCGCAGCTGCAGCCGCCTCCTCCCCCTACGTATATCGGGACCCGTGTAACTCGAGTCTGGCCAGCCTGAGGCTCAAGGCCAAACAGCACGCCTCTTTCAGCTATCCCGCCGTGCCCGGGCCGCCCCCGGCCGCCAACCTCAGTCCGTGTCAGTACGCCGTGGAACGGCCCGTATGAACGGCCCGGTCCGTCGACCATCCCCGAGGGCGGGGGCGAGAATTCACAGCCTCCCCGGACTGGGGTCGTCTTGACTGGCTTGCCCCTATCCCGGGGTCTGAGAGGGGTGCTGGGACAGCTCGGGGAGGGCGGAGGGGTGGGCGGCCAGCTCAGGAGAGAGCCTCCCCGCTGCCGGCCCTGAGGGATGGACTGGGCCCTACACACCCTACACACAGTCCACGCCCCTGGGACTAAGGCCAGGAACAGGGACCAGTTCCCCGGGGGCCAAGTGACCCTTGGCCCACCCCGCCTTCTCCAGACTCCCCTCCCCCATTTTCAAAGATAAATGAAATAAACGTGCGCGGACTGCCAAAGGCCTGATGATTCAGAGTTGCGGTTGAGCCCCCTCCCCTCAGGCTACCCCATGTTTAAAGGAGAGCTGGGTGTACAGGACAGAAGTGAGGGCCTGGGATTCTAGGGTTTCAGTCCCCTCTCAGCTCCCAACACCCGGATGGGGCAGCTGGGGGATTCCTGGAGCGGGGGGCGGGGGGGGGCACCTGCGAGCGAGTATGTAGGTGTGGCTTAGGGACTAGCTACTTCGCTAGCGTTGGCCAAAGCTGGTGCTGCGGCGCCACCTCGTGGTCTTATGCAGGATAACTGGAAGTTCTGGTCTGGAACGCTTGCTTGCAGGTGTCAATTTTGCAACTTAGGAAGCCTATGACCTTAGATAAGTTACACCGCCTTTCTGCACCTGTTTCTCACTGTTCCTATGAGGGGCTTGGGTCTCTAATAGCAATAAAATTCTGGTCTGTAACAGACATTTATTAAGTGCCTACCAGGCCTAGAATTTTTATTGAGTGTGTGTGTGTGTGTGTGTGTGTGTGCCTCTCATCTTTCCACACACCTTCACACCTTCTTAGGCTTCTCACTCAGTGATCATCCCGCTGCCAGCAGCCCTCTCCCATCACAGCAGTCCTCTTCCCCCAAATCTCAAAACCCCCAAAAAAGACTTGTTGAAATCTTTAATTTAAAAATGGAGTAAGAAAATTACTGGATAGAAATATAAATTCAGCTCTGGAAATCTTTCTCAGTTCTACCCCCATCCCAGGGCTTGCTTGGCCTTCACATTAAAAATAGAAACATCAAAGTACTAGATTACACCCCACCCACGGCTGACACAACTTCCTGCCACCTTGGGGCACAGATCCCATGGGAAAAACCATGCAGGGAAGGCATCTTAATTATTCTCCCAAACCTAAGCTCAACCCTTTGGTGCCTTGGCAGGGAGAGAGCCTGGGGCTCCTTTTTCTCCAACCCTTCACTGACTCTTGGTCTTGGCTTTGACTTTGGGCACTATGTAGGTTTGGTGGAAGAAATGGACAAAGAGGATGAAATAGGTCATATACAAGACAAGGGACCAGAAGAAGTGTTCCATTGTGGTGTGGCATCCCTGTTCCTGTCTCCAGATGTAAGTTAGGAAGCCAACAATGGTTCCCATAAACATCTGCAGGATCTGCAGGCTGGTGATGAGCATGGGTAACCACTTGGGGGACTTTACTTTGGCAGCCCTCAGAGTGTAGTAGATGTACATGATGGCATGCACACCAAAGTTCATGGTCATGAACCAGCCGCCTGCAGGCACCTTGTTCTTGTATCCAAAGCTCGCATACACTAGCACTGTGCTGTGGTGGTACCAGTGCACAAAGATGAGTGGCCGCTTACGCAGGATGATGAAGGCCGTGTCTCCTGGGAGATGGGGAGTCATAGCTGGCATACCACCCAGTGTTGGCACCACCCTCCATGATGAACAGAGGGACATAGGGGGAATTCTCAGGGCATGGAGAAGGGCCTTTGTGGCAAATAATTTAAAGAGGGGCTTGGGTAAGAGGTGTTAGGACCCAGGGGTGGGGAAGGGCCTCTCCATGTGATGGGGGAGGTGGGGGGGGTTCCTGAGGAGGGATGCCATTGACTGGGCACCAGAGAGACAAAGACTTGCCACTCACCAAGTTCAATGATCTTGCTGAGAACAAAGAGGCAGGACCAGAATCTGATTATGGGAGTGCTGATGAAGATGGAGAAGCACACAGTTTGCTTTAGGTCCCCCTTAAGTAGCAGGGTAGCCATATGGCCCCATGTCCTCAGTGCCCCCAGGATACTGAAATGGGATAGAGGAAAAGGGTGTAAGGTCATCCCCAGGCACCAATTCACCCTTCCCCCGTGGCCTGGCAGGTCACTGTCCCAAGCTCCACCACTTCCCCCTTCCAGCAGAATGGGTCACAGCTTCTGAGATCCTGTAATCTAGAGGAGATTAGGGCTGGGGAAGGACCAGGGAATGCTGGAGGATGGGACTGAAAACTGAGTTAGGGACTAGGGTTCTTGGGATGGGTAGGAACGTGGGAGGGGATGGGCAACAGGATTGGGAAGATGGAAGGAGTTTGGGGAATGAAATCTGGGAAGGAGGGGCTACAGAAGTTATTGGAAGGTCTTGGGAGAGTGTGTTTTGTTTTGTTTTGGGGGGGGGAGAGGGTGTTAGATTCTGAGAGCATTAGAGGCTGGAGAAAATTGTTAAAAGTACACAGACTCCATAAGCACAAGAGGACTCATGAGAGAGAGCAGAGGCTGCTTGTATGGGGCCTGGGGAAGAAAGTAAACAGGGTAATGTGGGAGGAGGATGGAAGCTGGGGAGGGAGCTGGAGCTGAGGGAATGGGCTAGGGAAAGAGTTAGATGGCAACTTGGGGCATTGACTCACTTGGGGTTTCCAGAAAGGTTTTAGGGTTAGAATGAGGGTCTAGGGTCTACAGGATAGGCAGGGAGTGGAGATTGGGGGAAGGGGGGTCTTACCTGAAGAGTGCAAGGGAGAAGGACCAAAGGATTAGAGGCGCCTGCAGGTTGAAGCCCTTCCGTGCCTTCATGTAGTTCTGCCCCACAAAGATGAGTAGCAGGTAGACCAGAGCTATGAGGAATGAGGTTGCCCTGGCAGGCAGAAGGCAGAGGGGATGGGCTTATGGGTGGGTGCTGGTTACAGGAATGCCCACTGGTCTCTCAAGGTGAGTGCTCTGGGTTGGAGTCCCAGCTCTGCCACTTACTAGCTGTGTGACATTGGGAAAAAACTACTTAGTTCTCTGAGCCTCAGTTTCCTTATTATAAAGGAGAAATAACACTCCTCGCCTGACAGTGTTAAGGTATATAAAGTACCTAGTGCAGGGCAGGGGCTGTGTTCAAGGTTTCTGTGATTATTGCTCTCAGTGGAATTTTGAGTGGGTGACAGCTGCTGTGTCCATGCCTAGAACCAACCCAGAGGTCTGGTATAAGAAGAATGTGGCAATAGTTTCTGCCTGGTTGGGTTATGGTAAATTGGCTGGAGCACAAAGTCAGCCCACAAACACCTCTGAGGAGCTTTAGGGCAAGATCAAAGAGCCTGGGGAAATCTTGAAAGAGCTCCCTGACTGTGTCTCCTTCTCCACAGCGGGGACAATGGAGCATTTGGGGAATAGCGTGATAAATGTAAAGGCAGACTGTCCCTGGGACCAGCACTATGCCTGCACACACGGCCACAAAGGACAAAGGAGAGTCGTCTATAAGGTGGGTGGGAGTAGGAGTTCAGGTCAACCCCTTCCTCAGAGATCATTTCTCACTACACTCTTTCCCCTGGGTTTCTGTCTCCTACTTTTCTCAACCCATTTTCTTCCTTTCTCCCTCCCTTCCTCCCTGTCTCTTTCTTTTTCTCTTTCTCTCTCATTCTTTCTTTCTTTCCTCCGGGTCTAATCTCTGAGATGCCACGCTAACTGCACCTTGGACAACAGGGATATGGAGTCAGTACAGAGGAGCCCGATACCTTTGCTCTTTAAGAAAATCATTGCAGGCATCCAGTGTCTCCCCCCCCCCCCCCCATAGCAGTCATCAAGGTCAGGACCCTGGCACGGCCCTTCGCCTTCCCCAGGTCTCACCAGTACTCCTCCAAAAGGGGCCTCATGTCCTGGAACAGCTCGAAGTTGTAAGGCTGCAATATCTGCTCTATTTCGTCCGAGGCATTCATGGCTGTGACCATTTCGTTCTGCAGACGTCGAGGTCCGGAGCTTGAAAAGCTGGGCAAGAGGTTGGGGCACCGAGGATGGAGCGAACTTTGGGGCAGGACGAAACGCACGCGGAACTCCCAGGCAAGGAACTCCGCGGCAAGCGAGGAGCGTCAGATTCCGGCACGTGCGCCACAGTCAGACGACTTCCACCGCCGCCGCCGCTGCCGCTGCGGTTTATGAAGCTGAATTGCAGAGCTGCGGGCCGGGGCGGCGCGCGGCCCCTCCCAGCTCCAGACCGTTATCCAATCTCGACCAAGATACGCCCCTGTCCTGCCCCTGGGCCGCAACCCGCCCTCTGATTGGTCATCCTCCAGGGCACCTCCCCCAGGTGCTTCTCACACCCCAACCCAAATGCCAGTGGTAGGATCCCACCACACCCACTTTCCCATCCTTTTCTCCCACACCTCCATTCCCGCCCACCTGCTTGGCTAAGCCCCTGTACTGCCAACCATAGCCTTTGGCTGAGTGCGCTTTAATCCTGACCTACCTGGCAGTGAGGAGAGAGTGGAGGCGTCCTCAGCCTCTGATGCCTGCATTCAGAAATTCGGGTGTCAGTTTCTCGTCTCCCTGAGACCCTGGGAAACCCAGACCCCGGATGCAGACGAATCCCCCATAGTCCCATCTGCCCTCTTCAGGTCTGTGGTTGCGGGTGGGAAGGAGACTACTTTTAATATATTTTTAAAGATTTTATTTATTGGGGCGCCTGGGTGGCTCAGTCGTTAAGCGTCTGCCTTCGGCTCGGGTAATGATCCCAGGGTCCTGAGATTGAGCCCCACATCGGGCTCCCTGCTCAGGGGGAAGCCTGCTTCTCCCTCTCCAACTCCCCCTGCTTGTGTTCCCTCTCTTGTTGTGTCTGTCAAATAAATAAAATCTTTAAAAAAAAAAATTGAGAGAGAGAGAGAGAGAGAGTGGGGAGGAGCAGCGGGAGAGAGAGAGAAGCTGATGCCCTCCTAAGCAGGGAGCCTGATGCGGGGCTCCATCCCAGGACCCGGAGATCATGACCTGAGTTGAAGGCAGACGCTTAACCAACTGAGCCACCCAGGTGCCCTGAATTTTAAAAATTTTATTGTCAAGGTTGTTGATGTTGATGTTTGGGGAGATGGTAGTTGAGGCTGTTGTGGATTCTTTACAGTTTCCTGAATTCTTGAACTGCTCCAGCTTGAAACCCAGTAATAACCTTGGAGAGGAATTACGGTCACCCTCTGGGCTTCTGGGATTATTGTCTTCAGGTTTTCTGGAGGCCTTCTAGGGTTTATAGAAGAGGAGATGCAGTGCATCTCCCCAGTATCTTACTATTCTCTCCCAGAGTTTGTGCTTGTCTAATTAAATCTATTTTTTCCTTGCCTAGGCACCCAGCCCCAAAGAAATAAATATTTTAAAGCTTTTAAGGCCTTGTCTGTCCCTAATGTCTCTCCTAGGCTTTATGAAAGTGAGGGAGAAATACAAGACTTGAAGGCAGTTTGAAATAAGATGGAGATTTGCAAAACAAGGGCCAAGAGATGTAAATATAGATATTTAAAATCGGGACATGGTTATAAAAGTCTATGTGCAGTAAACCGCACAGGCTCCAGAGCCTGAGGCCCCAGGCAGGAATCCCAGCTCTACTTCTTTGAACCTCAGCCACTGTCCTGCCCATGCTTCCTTTCTTTCTTTCTTTCTTTCTTTTTTTTTTTTTTAAAGATTTTATTTATCTATTTGACAGAGAGAGACACAGCGAGAGAGGGAACACAAGCAGGGGGAGTGGGAGAGGGAGAA